TATCTTGGTTGTTGCTCAAAGCCGCGCTCCACAATTGTTTGATGATGATGCTTGATAGAGGAATCCCCTCACAACGTCCAAGCCCGGCAAGCATCCTATACGCGAAGTAGAGGTCGGCGCTTCGAATTTTGTTGTAGCCACTTGCTCTCGGCATGACGTTGAATGAGTAGAGGTACATCAAAAGCCGGGCCCGGATGTGTGGTTGACCAAGGTTCTTGGTCATAAGCTCGTGTCCTTGCAAGCCGAAATATTGCATCGCATCTAAGGGGTTGTAGCTAACGTCGCTATTCATTGCTCCGGCTTGGGAAGGGGCGAAGGGAATGTCGTGGTTGGTGATGTGAAACTGAGATCTCAATAGGTCATTTGTGATAGTGAGTTTTACCCCTTTGACCCGGCTCTCAATCATCTTTTGGGGGTTATTTCCCTCAATATTTGCGAAAAATTCCTTGACGAGCTCCGGGTAGAAGGTGCCTTCAAGATGTAGCACCGGCTCCCAATCGATATTAGCGAAGGCCTCGGTGAGCCGGTACTTGTGGTCAATAGGTTGTGACACCGTCTTCTCAACAACGAAATCGTTGTCCCTAGATTCCAAGTACCGTTCATAGCACTTGGTGTTGACAAACCAGCTAGAAGGCAAGATGGTGGAGGAGGCCGCGGGTGCCTTGTTGTTCCTTGCCCGCTTGGGATTGCTCGGGCCAGCCTCGGTGCTAACGGACTTCCCTTTTGGAGCCATTTGAACCTACAAACTCAAACAATTCTAGTCAATTTTCTTAAAAATTTGACAAAGTTTCCCCTAAAAATTGACTTTAATCACAATTCATCATGACAAAGGACAATATAATCACAACTTTACTCAACAACAACTAATCACAAGAATTCAATTGAAAATCCCCAAATTTGAACAAGAATTTCGAACCCTAAACCCCAATTTTGACCAAATAGCAAAAATTTCAAAATTGTTGAAAATAACTACTTGAAAAGAGGTTGAAATGGTTCATACAAGCAATATAGGCAACAAGAACAACATATCATGCAATGAATTAGGCCTAAAAGCTATCAATTTGCATAAACCCTAAAATTCGAAATTTGGGAAGAACAACCAATTCTATCGATTAAATGAAGAAAAAGCTATGAAATTGAGTTTAAGAAGTGAAGGAGATGGAGAAATACCTGTTTTGAGCTTGAAAGAGGAGAAGAAACGTGAAGAAAGGGGGTTGTCGTTCGAGCTCTCTCGTTCGCCGGGCGTCTTTTGGGAGTTGTGTGCGTGTGTTTGTGTTTAAACAGAACAGGTAATAAAACATTCGTCCCCGAAAGCCGGGCGACATATGAGAAAGCCGGGCGGCTTTCGGTCAAACAGATTGTTCCCAGAACCCGTAAGCCGGGCGGCTTACGCGAACGTCGGGCGACTTTCGATTTAAAAAATCTGGAATTACCTTCGGCGCCCAAAAGCCGGGCGACAATCCCGAAAACCGGGCGGGTTTCGTGTGCGAGAAAAATACCTGGGAAGCAGACCTGAAAGTCGGGCGGGTTTCGGGAAAACCGGGCGGTTTTCGATCTGAATAAATGGAATTAACCTACGGCGACCAAATGCCGGGCGGCTTTCGCGAAAGCCGGGCGGGTTTCGATGCCTTTGCTAATTCCGCCCACTTTGTTCAAAATTAGCCTTGAAACTTCACATTTCTTTGCTTTGCTTCTCCCCCTACACTTGAATTGCATCGTCCACAAGCAATAAGAGTATAAAAGCATAATGAAAGACAAACATGTAAATAAAAAGGATATGAAATTGGGTTGCCTCCCAACAAGCGCCTTCTTTAACGTCATTGGCCGGACGTTCTTCGTGATCATTTCTTGAATGGATAGGAAGTTGTATAGTACTCTTTGTGCAGCTTCAAATGATGGCTATTGACGGCAAAAGGGTTATTCTCCCCTTGTTGGATCACCATCTCTCCAAATGGTTGAACCTCGATGATGGTGAATGGTTCCGACCAATGAGGTTCCAAGTTTTCGGGCAATAATCGGGACTGTGAGTCATAAAGAAGAACTTTATGCCCAACTTGAAGTTCTATTTCACCTTTCTTCTTGTCATGCCGTGTCTCAAATTTCTCCTTGTAGATAGGAGGGTCTTCATGTGATTCATGCTTCGGAGTACTTTGCGGGGTAGTATCAAATGTGGAGTTGACACTAAAACATGTGGAGTTGATAGGTGGATTCTTCAATGATTCCCAAACGTGAAACTCTTGTTCTTCTTCTCCAATACGGAATTTTACTATTCCGTTCTTAACATCAATAAGAGCACCCGCCGTGGCTAAAAAGGACCTTCCAAGAATAACCGGAATCTCCATTTCATCCATTTCTAGAATAAGAAAGTCAACGGGGAGATAGAATTTGCCAACCTTTACAAGAACATCTTCCACCACTCCGATAGGATAACGGATTGTTCTATCCGCCAATTGAAGAGCTATTGTTGTAGGTGTAGGCTCCCCCACACTTAGCTTCTTGAATAGAGAGAGTGGCATTAGGTTGATGCTAGCTCCAAGATCACAAAGGGATCTTACTTCTCCTAGACTCCCAATAGAACAAGGAATGGTGAAACTCCCGGGATCCTTCATCTTCGGCGGTAGCTTATTTTGGAGAATGGCACTACATTCCTCCGTGAGCGGTATGGTTGCAAAATCAGCCAACTTCTTCTTGTTGTTGAGTATATTTTTCAGGAATTTTGCATATGAGGGTATCTCCGCTATAGCCTCGATGAAAGGGATGTTGATGCTCAACTTGGTGAAGATGTCTAGGAACTTCTTGAATTGCTTTTTGTCATCTTTCTTCTTCAACTTTTGAGGGTAAGGGATAGGGGGAACATATGTTGCCATGGGTGGTGGTGATGAGACATGCTCCTCTAGCCCTTCCTCTCCTTGCTTCTCCATTGGTGCATCTTGAGTAACCGGCCCCTTCGTTTCCTTACCACTTCTCAAAGTGATAGCCATAGCCGTTTCTCTTGGGTTGACTTCCGTTGTTGTGGGAAATCTTCCATGTTCTCTAGTGGTTCTCTCTTGTGCAAGTTGGCCAATTTGGACCTCTAAGTTGTGAATAGAGGACTTGGTATATTGCTCAAGACTGTCCATGCGTTGATTGAGCTTCCTATTTTGATCCTCGAAACGTGAATCAAGTTTTGTGAATTGTGTGTGAAGATTCTTGATAGATGACTCCACTCTACAATGGTTCTCCTCACTTTGGGCTTGCATAACGGCTACATTCTTTGTGAGAAGCTTCATCATCTCCTCCATGGTAGGTTCTTTGGATTGGCCAAATGTAGGAACTCCGGGTTGATGGCTTGAAGGATTACCTTGCGGTCTATAATTGTTTCCTTGATTATACCTTTGTTGATTGTTGGAGAAGTTATTTCCTCCTTGGTTTCCTCGTTGCCCATAAGAGTTCATGTAACTAACATCCTCAAGATGTTGAGATGAGTTACCTTCCACATTGGAGACACTCTCCACATTTGCCACTTGTTGAGCCCCTCCAATAACGGCTTGTAAAGCCGTGTGAATTGATGCTTGTAGATTTTGTTGCATTTTGGTTTGAAACTCTTCAAACCTTTTGTCTAGTTCATGCGTTATAGAAATCTCATTCACCCCCGCCACCTTGATGTCTCCTCCTTGAAGTTGAGGATTTGAAGCAATAGATTCAAGAATCCTCAAAGCTTCCGTCTCCATTTTGTTTCCAATGTACCCCTCCGCTCGGTTGTCTACAATAGCTTGACAAGATGGGTTCAAGCCATTGTAAAAAGTGTCTATTTGAAGGTCAAGAGGGATGCGGTGATGAGGGCATTCCTTCAACAAAGACTTGAAACGCCTCCATGCGTCTTGAAAAAGTTCTCCAACTTGTTGTTTGAAGTTGAAGATTCGTTGTCGTAGCTCTTGCGTCATTGTGGGAGTGTAGTACTTGGAGATGAAAACATTGTATATTTCATCCCAAGTAGCATAGGATGCCGGTGTTTGCTCTAGAAACCACCCTCTAGCCGCTCCCTTCAAGGTGTAAGGGAAGCACTTGAGCCTTAGATCACCTTCACTTAGCCCATTCCTAGGCACACCTTGAATGAACCCATAAAATTCGGTAATGAAATTTAATGGATTCTCTCCCGGTTGTCCATAGAAGTGCGGCATAGCATTAAAGTAGCTATTCCGCAATTCATAGTCCCGTGCCGCCTCGCTAAGAACGATGCAAGAAGGAGTGGTGGCAATAACGGGCCTCTTCCGTTCATTGAGTGTGGGAAGCATTGTTGGTACTCTTGCTTCCTTCTTCCGATTCCTTCTACAAGCTCTCTCAATCTCAAGATTGATAGGTTCAAGGTTTGTAGAGCCTTGACTTCTCAATAGCATGCACTAAGAGCTTGTCTACACAACAAAATTTAAAACAAAACCAAGTGAAACGTAAAGGGAAAATTCAGGAATTTTTGTTGAATCAAATAAACAAGACCGTTTCCCCGGCAACGGCGCCAAAAACTTGGTCGGCTTAAACTTGCAAGTGTACAAGTGCCGATGTAGTAATAAAATCCGGTAAAAATACCGAGTCGAACACGAGGAAACGTTGTTTATATGATTCAAAAATTGAGAATATAATTTGTAAAAGACTTGGTAAAAGAGTAAAGATTTTTGGTTTTTCAAGTGATAATAAAAGCAACCAAGGGTTCGGGATTACTCCTAAACGACTCCTAGCGATTAATGTATATTCTTTCACCAATTCTTATGAGTGGAATGTCGCTAAAGTATTCTAACTCCTGTTACGGCAGCGAGATTGTGATTAATTCTACGTGTGAATCCCGTCACGGTTCACATTCATCTAAAATTAACCCCATTGAAGATTAGGACATTATTACAACCACCATATTCAATTGAGGTATATTTCTATCCACAATTAGAATATGTCTAACCTTTAAGTGCACGGTTTATAACTCAACGTTAATTGCTCAAATAAACCCAACGATATAATCATACGTTGTACACCGTAGTCATACACATTAAAATATAAAGGAAAGATCATAATAATTTGGTTGAGAACATACATCAAACACCTAGAGTGCGTAAAGTTTCATCCCTAACCTTGGCTATGGAAAATTAGCTAGAGCAACTCATAATGAAATTACAAGTATTGAATTGATGAAATACAATGAAATACATAAGAAAGAAATACCACAACTCCAAGCTATGGTGGACAATGGAATCCCCAATGGTAGAACTTCTCCCAAGACCAAGGGGTTGATCTTGGAGTGCTAAAATGGAAGTAAAGTGTATGGAATATGGAATAAATACTTGAGAGGGCTTCCATATGCTTAAATATTGGGTCTTCAACGGCCATTTTTAGACAAGGAAGCAAGCTCCTTAATTGGATTTGGAGCTTCTCTCGAATGATTGTGATGACCGTTGCTTGTTTTAATCAATTCCAGACGAAAGGCGGGCGACTTTCGCAAAAGCCGGGCAGCTTTTGCGCGTTTAAAATGCTGCTCCTCCGCTCCAGGGGTCGAAAACCGGCCGCCATTTACAAAAGCCGGGCGGCTTTTGTAATTAAATTCTGAAAAATTCCTTCGGCGTCCAAAAGTCGGCCGGTGTTCACGAAAGCCGGGCGGCTTTCGTCCTTTCTTGCTCCGGATCAGATTTTTCAGCTTTGGATGCGAAAATAAGCTTGGGGACCAATGGCCGGCCGCCTTTGGCATAAACCGGGCGACTTTCGTCTGTCTTGGGCCTTTTTGTGGTCTTTATTTGTTCCTCGGGATGCGTTTGGTTGACCTTTTTCCGTCGGTTTCTTCGTGTGTATTCTACCATCCTTGCATTTGATCCATTTGTTGATTTAAAGAACTTCTAGCAAAACGAGGCATATGTGTGAAGATTTTATTCTTTTTAAACATAAAAGCGTTTTAAGATGAATATATAAAATACGTTAATAAAACGCTTATCAAATTTGAAGAAAGACAACAGAAGTATGCAGATGCAACGGATGCCGAACTAACAGATCGAGTCAAACAGAACCGACAAAATTTTAAAAGCTATCTAGAAACAACTTGACAGGAGAAGGTCACTCAGAAATTACGAGCATGCACTGAATCTTCGCAAACACTATTACAGATCTCAGAAATAAAGAGATCCCAAGCAAGACTGCTCTTGATCACAAAGGGGGAGATTGTTAAGCACATTTTAATTGTGAATCAAGTTTGTCTAAATATCTTGTTATTTATTAGAATAGGTATACCATTTATGGTATTAAATAATTATGTAATAATTAGGTTGTAAGGGAATAAGGCCCAAAAAGGCCTTAGGCCCAAACTCCTAGGTATCCTAATTAAGGTAACTTGTACACCACATATAAATATGTGCGTTCTGTACAGAGCCTAAGGTTGAACATTCTATTCTCTCAGCATTACTCTGCAAAACTTTTCGATAAATAGAAGGAAAGGTTTCTCTGTTCTCGATATTGCTTAAAGGTTTGTTTGCAACAGTTTCTGCTTTTAAAAAAGTGATTTTTTTAATGAAATGAGGAGAAGTGATTTAATAAAAGTTAATAGTGTTTGAGAAAAAAGTGATTTTGAAAAGTAAAAGTGGGTAGTGTTTGGTAAAATAAGTGCTTTTTGTGTAATAGAAAAAGTAAAAGCACTTTTGACGCGGAAGCCGAGAAAAATAAAAGTTGTAGTGTTTGGGAAAATAAGTGCTTTTTTAAAGCCAAAAGCTGAGAAGTTCTTTTTTAAAAGCAGTTACAAACAGACCCTAAATCATTCTGTGATATTTTTCTTCTCTGTTTATTAATGAATACCATCTAGCTATAGATACAGTGTCAAAGAGACCAACGGGTTCAGCTCCTCCCCATTTTTTCTTCTCCATTTTCCATCCATTTCTTTTTTTTCTTCCTATCTCTTTCTACATTTTCCTCTATCTTACTCATCCATATACCCCACCTAAAATCACCTCCTCTCTATCTCTCTCCCACTAGAATTCTCCAGTTACTGGAGAGGATCCAAATTCGGGACCAACACCCCTTAACTAAAACTTTCAATGCTTGACTCCTTGACATTCTATACATACAAAAAGCTATAAACAAATTCCTTCCACGTCCCATAATATATAGAAAACTCAAAACAGAGGAAAAACAGAGAAAGTTATAAGTTAACTTTCAGAAGCAGGAATATAACCTCACCATACAACTGTAACACCAAAAACGGATTAACCAAATTAACCTTTTTTTGTTACTCTGAAATATAACTTGAGCAGAGAGCTGAAGTTTGAGAATTTCCTATCCATTTGGGTTTCTATGATCACCAGTACATCTCAGCATGAAAAACGAAAATTGTTTTGTTTGTTAGACTCAAATAGAATGTCTTTTCCACTCTTGGCTTGAAATAAGTTCTAAATTGCCATTCATTTGAGTTTATATGTTTATGTGTAATGTCAATTATCATAATTAAGTTATCTTCTAAACATTTCATGGTAGTTAGTTTTTCAGAAGATCCCGAATTTTTTATACAAAGGAAGCAAGAGGATTGTTTTAGTAAGAAACTTTCGATGAATAAAAGCCTCCATAGAAAAGCAATGGCTGATTTGATTTTTAATGCTATTTTAGAAAACAATTGTGAGAGTAAATAAATGAAACTACGAATAGAGGGTATAAATGTCATCCTGCTGCCAAGTTCAACTCACCTTCTTCCACATAAATAATCAGACTTGGTTGAAAAATAATTGAGAACACAGCTAGATTCTTAATGAAAACCCATTTAGATTTAAGCCAAATAAATAACCAAAGTACACCCATATTGCTTATTCATATTATAAGCTTGAAAAATATATAATACAATTGCAGATGCATAACAGTGTGTATGTAACCTGTTTTTTACCAAGAGGTTTAACAAAATGATTTTCCATTTAGGAAAATTAACATAAATTAGCTAGCAAGCTCTACCAAATAACTCTTGGAAAACATGTGTTACATTAAGTGCATTAGCTGTCGTTTTTTCACTAAAACTTAGAAGTATATGGTATAGCAAAAAAAATACTTGGTAAACATATATGAACATAAACAATTATATTGTGAAATAATTCTTTTGGATACCAATGTCAAAAAGGTACATATATAAAAAGCTTACCGATAAACAAATAGATTGTAACTAATTTATATCCCTGAATGCAAAAATAACCTGCAACAAACTGTTTTGTCATCAGAGATAGAACTGTTGCCTGTTTTAACAATATGCTCCTGAGAAAAAATTACATTTAAAAAAATGATCGAAAGTAACTAACCATAGCGTAACACAATAAAAGATAGACCAATGATGATAAAGCTTCCAATTGAAGATACGGTAGTAATGTGACTTGTGTCCCTTTCTTCGTGGTTATTTTTATTTCAGTATTCTATAAGCCAGCTGTAAATCCTGTAATGGTTCTAAACAATGGTTCTGAACTCTAAAGTACACTCTTTTCACACATGAGAAGGAAAGAATTTGCTCAAGCGCAAGTGAAGTATCTTCTAGTTCAGGATAATTAAGATGCACTATTTATTCTTGTTATCTCATATGGATATTCTTCTTGGACTTTACTGTCTTGTGGCATCAACAGGTCCACAACACTAATAAAATAGGTTACCAGGAGTATTCATTCTAGACTGCCTATTTACTTGAATCAGTCCAAACAAAATTTATTTAAAAAAACTTAAAAATTAAGTTTTTTTTAGTATAAATCAAAACTGGATGTCTGAAATAATATGTCCAAAACATAATATATTCGGAAAACCTCAAGTTACATCGCACATGGTCAAACCTGTAATCCAGTTTAGCACATGCTCTCCATCTGAAATTGAGAGGAGCGTGAGACACATCTTCAGGCGTGTGAGTTGGTATTGGTCCACCTCTGTTGTACTTGGCTCGCCTCATTAATATGTTGGTCTCCTAATTAATGAGTCTGGCCCAACTCCTTTGCCTACCCGACCAAGCCCATTCGTCTCCCCTTGTCTTTATCCAGCCCATGACTCATTGTGGCCCTTCTCTTATATTGTCCCGTTCCTTCTGGAATCTCCTATTTGTGCGACCCTTCCCTCTCTCTTAGCGATGAGAAGCCTAGACTGTTACCCTAGTTCTAGAGTGAGAGAGTGCCGGTTGAACTGTAGGCTTAGCTCCGGCTATCCTCCGGTGAGACCCTTGGGGTTCCCTTCTGTGGGCTTCACTCTGAGCTGGTTTTTGGGGGTTCTTCTCCGGTGGGTTCTCTGGGGTCTGGTCTGGGGGGGTTTGGGCTCCAAACTGAGTGTTTGAGACTGTTGCCCTTTCGGTTTTCCCTTGTTGACTCCTTGGTGGTGAATGGTGAGCTAGCTCTTGGGGCTATGGTGATTGAGGTCTGAGCCGGTCCAGTAACTCTACAAGGCGGCTGGGGTGAATCTCGCTGAAACAATTAAAAGCATTAACTGAGCTCCTCATGGAAATTATTACAAACACATAGCTATCAAATATATCAACATTGAGTTTGAAGATGAGATTAACCTATACCTAAGGATGTTTTTAGTAATACTGAGTACATGCTAAAAAACTATGGTCCGGGGAAGTATACTCTATCCGTCTTCTTCTTCTTCCTTTTGCAAGCCGCAAAACCAGAGCCAAGAGACACAATGGTAGTCATTGCAAGTTGAGGAGATACTACTGTCCTCATAAGAAATAAGCTATGTGATAATTGCTATGATAATTAAATATTAGTATACCAAAAAAGTGAATATGAACTTGACATAAACCAAAATTTTCAAAATGTGATAACTAAATTAGTTGAATTCTTTGCACAAAATAGAGATGCTCAAATGTGATCACTAAGTTAGTTGAACTCTTTGCCTATTTGACATGGCTCAACCAAAAAGTTCAGGATATAGGAATATTAATTTCACATTATCCATAAATTGGAATGTGATCCAAGGAAGTCTGGATTTGAAAAAGGAACCTAATCAAAATAAACTCATCATTTTGACTAATAGAATTGGTCCCTGGAGTAGTCATTTCAGATTGCATATATATTCTTAAATCCATGCAAACAAAATCTATTTGAAATAAATTTAAGAATTACTCTGTGTGACTAAAAATCAAAACTGACTTGTATCTCATCTCTGAGGTCCAAGAAATTCTTTTTAAACTTTTTGTAGTGCTTAAATTAATAGGTACGGGTACTGAAAGTGCAATAGAAATAATTCATGTTCCTGATGGAATTATTGGAATATAAAAAAAAAATAAACATAACATCATCATAGCATCAACATCACTTTCAAGTTTAGGATTAGCTTGGTCAACTGGGATTGATTTCAAATCACCACCCGGTTCAGTCAAAGCTAAAACTAACAAATCCAAGGTCTTAAGTTATATGATGTGAAAACTTCAGCTTTTTGGGTGAAGAATTTGTTCACTGATCTAGTCTTTGTAACACAGATTACCAAGTACAAGTTATACAGATCAATGCAACGTTTTAAATTCAGAAAATTATCTTGCTGCTCATGGATGTACTTCTCATTCTATACAAAGATTATAATGAAAGATAAATACATAACTTAAAGAACATATACTTCAGACATATTGATCATAATACTTTCGGAACAATTTTCTAGGAGGAAATTTGATCACCCAGGCAGGCATTCTATTGGGCCTATTTTGAGTGGGATTTTGATGTAGATGTTACAACACTTATCACCTATAATTTTGGAAAAGTCTCGTGTTTCATCTACTTTTTCTAAATGTATTTCACTTAGAAGTATTTCGCATGACAATTTATTTCTGATTTAGAAACTTCGCCTTTTCAATATTAACTTATTTGTTTAAAACCTTTCAAAAAAAACTTATTTGCTTAAAAATAACCAAAATCCTAATCAAAACCTATAAGAATGTTTTTATTTGCGAGATCAAATTTTACAGTAGGCTCAATTCAAATGTATTTTAATGTGGACCAACTACCCTACCACGTTAAAAGATGTTATTATGTTGATTTATTTGGTTTTCCTTATTTTAGATTCTAGAATTTATCTAGTTTGGTACTTATTTGGTTTAGTTCTTTATTTGAGCCAGGTCTAGCCGCCCCAATCTGTTGTATGTTCATTTATTTTTCCTACTGAAAGGTTTTGGTCTGGTCCTCCTCTAATTTGTGTACTTTCATTTTTCTTAAATAAAATCTGGTAAAAATGTTCCCCGACATTTGCCCTACTGATTTAACTGATTTGCCTGCCGGGTTGGAAAAAAGTTTTTACTTGGACTTATTTCAGTCCCAGACTAGACCAAACTTGCACAGTTTTAAAATAGAAAGTGACTATAAATTTACCAGACCAGGAGTTCTGACTAGATCAGATAAGACCACACAAGATCAGATCAGACCAAGTCAGACCAAATCGGGCCAGAAAATTTCAAACCCAACAAAAAATCCTAATTCCAATTAAATTCTACGGGTAAATCGCATACAATAAAACTTTCCCGTCATTGCTCCTCCCTCTCTCTTCTCTTCTTTTCTTCTTTTTTTCATCTCCTCAGACATTATCTTGCTTCGACTTTCTTCAAACCCTTATTGAGCTCCACCTCTTCCTCCTCCTCTACCAATTCAAAACTTTACGCACATCTCACTTTAAACTCTTGATATACAAAAGATTATACTATGATGTTTGAAAACTAAATTATAGTATGATTATTAACAGCTTAATTATAAAATCAATTTTTAGATGATGAAATGTGCTTTACACAATATAAGCATTAATTGATAATTTTTTTTTTGCAGTCATTGTACAGTAATATTTCACCTCGATTCGCTTCGTTTTCTTATCCCGGAACGAAGAGGGGTGAATGCCTTGTCCGCTTGTACTTTGTTCAACATTTTGGGTCATCTCTGGCCATCTAAGAAATTAAAGGGCACAAGCAAAAATAGGAGACAAACAATGGGGGGCTATACCTGACCCATTGAAAAAAAACAGCACGAACAATAAAAAATTAACCCCAAATTCTAAGAGTAGGAAGTCCAAAAAGATCCGTAAAATATGCATTTCTTACACAGGCAGGTAACGAAGTAGGCTGGGAATAATTAATCTGTTGGGCTTGTGCTTGGGCCGCTAAATGGCGTGCGACCCAATTAGCTTCTCGCCAAACTCTGGAAAAGAAAATCCTCTTCCCCTCCGACATCAGCAACATTTCCTGAATTTCACTCTGCCATCTACTCTTTCCTCCATCCCTGATTATCTTCAAAGCCTCCTCCGAATCCATTTCCACCTGTATGTCTGAAAAACCTTCCCTGATAGCCCAAGATAAGGCTCGACATATTGTGAGTAGCTCCGCCTCCATAGGAGAAGACGCTTGGACTGGGAAGGAGGTAGCACAGACCAAGAGTCCTTTGTTGCGCAGAACCGCACCCCCCGCGGCTGATAAAGATGAGTATCTAGCATCCGTGTTCAATTTATATTTCTGATTTGGCTTATTCCATTTGACTGCCAGGATTAGCGGTTTTTGTAATCGGAAAGAGCTAGGAATTAGCTTTTCCTCATATAAAAACCTATCCACCTTTTGAATTTTTTTAGTCGAGAAGCTGTTTACCCACAAGCATGTATATCCTTTAATCTGTGTAATAAGATTATCTGGAGAATGGAAAGAATCCCCCTGACCCCAAATTAAACTGGAATAACCCTTCCAAATATGCCAACACACAATACCAGGTAAACAATGTCTGAAGATATCTTCCAAAGTTTTACTACCCGCCTTGAGCCACCATGAAACAAGAACCTGCCTTATAGATACAGTCTGATATAGGGTAGGAACACCCAAAATGCCTCTGAAATAATTCCAAACTGGTTTAACTTTTTCACAATTAAAAAAAATGCGATCCACTTCATCAGCATGCGCCCTACAAAGAGGGCAAATAGAAGGGTTTAAGGTCATAGCAAATCTCTGTAAATTATCAGTGATAGGAAGAATTCCTTTAAGTAGCTTCCACTGAAAAATTCTGATCTGTAAAGGAAGTCTAGTTTGCCAAATATGCTGAAAAGTAAAGGATACAGCTCTTTCCTCCCTTACTGATTCATAGGCAGACTTGAAAGAGAACCTACCATCAGCAACAGGTTCCCAAATGAGATTACCAGCATTACCCACACTGCATAATGACTTGGCTAACTCATTAATACTACAAATTCTTCTCCATATGTGGGAGTCAGTTATTTTGGGCACCATATTCTCACCTCTGGGATATCTAGCCTTAATAAAGCTTACCCAAATAGAATCTTCAGTTTTCCATTTCCACCACAGTTTTAATGAAAAAGCCTTCTCTATATCCGAGAGATTTCTTATACCTAAACCCCCTTCTTCAGTAGGAGCATTAATTGATAAATTTAAGGTGAATTTATAGATAAATTTACGGTGAAGATCAAAATGCTCAACCATGTATAAGGTACTGGCAGAACATTCCATTTGAACTATAGAAATGGATTGAAGCTTTCAGAAGAAGAACTTATTACATATGTAGAAATGTCAAACGAAAATGTGTTTGGGAGTTTTTTGCAGATGAAGAATATATCACGTAGCTACTCTCAATAAATTAAATGTCTCCTATTTATATAGAGTAATAGTTATATGTAGTTTAGTTTATATAGGATGTCAAAGAAGTCATTGTTGCCGTTGGTCTTCAGATTTTAACAACGTTCATTCAATGCTACAACATTGTCGCCACGAGAGACGATTCAGACGAATCGGCCCAGTCTAGGGTTTTGGGCCTATAGGGATAGAGAGAGTTTTATATTTTTGATGGTGTTTAGGGGTAGGGGTCGGGTTAGGTGGGACATATATGGTTCGGGGTAGTAGTTGGGAAGGGTGTAGGATAGTTCCAACGAAGGAAATGAGATAGTGATGGGTTGGGGTAATGGTGGCCAGAAATATGTTATAGGTGGGGTTTCACTTGCTGAAAAATATAGGTCACTATTGGAGAATAGTGGTGTAACTTTCATTAGGGAGGTGTGGTCACTGGCGCGAGCGTGTCATTGGGCGACATATCACTGGGGTAGGGTTACTTGTTTTCAATTGGTTGGAGTTGGAGTTATTATTGGGACACTAAAGTCACCGTGCAATGACACTTAATCACTGAAGGGGTTGGAGCCACTATGGTGATTGGTCATTGGGTCACTAGAGTTATTGTGGCGTCACGTGTGAAGATCATAAAACCGGTTATTGACCTGCTAAAATGCACAATTGAGCATTTTTAAGAAGTTCAATGTTTTAAATGGTTGTTTTCAAAGAGGACTTATTTGACTTTTTTGACATATATGATGTTTTTACATGGACTGAAATTTGATGGTCTGGTCTGATTTGAACTAGTAAATGTCTTATCTCTGCGTATTTTACAACTATGAAAATCTGGTCTGCTCTTAATATGTCTAGTCTGTTTAAATGCGGTCTGTTCTGCTATTAATTTTACAAGTTTTCAAGTTCAATTTTTTTTAGTATGCTTTTCCCCCTTTGATTACTTTCATTATTTTGAATTTTATTTTATAGTTAAGGCTTTATTATTTTAATCTTTTTTACATTTTAATGATCTTTTTTTTTTGCTTTTTTCATTTAAAACAAGAATTGAGTAATTTTTGGAGTTTACTTCAGCTTTAAAGGAATATCACATTTTAGATCCATCAAATAGCACCCACATTGAAATGTTGTCCCCGTGTTTTTAAGTTTGTAAATGTTATCTCTCAATGATTTCAATTGTTCTTAATGTTATCCTTTGAGGGATGACACTTAGTCACTTACAATGTGGATGAGAACCACATTTATAGTAATTCTAACAATTGATGGGTGACAATCTATGTTGTACGGATACGAATACTATACGCTGATACGCCGATACGCGAATACGGGTACGGTGATACGACAGTATCAAAAAATGTAGGATACGGGTACGGGGTATATTTATAAATAAAAATAATACAGGGTGTAATTTGCAAATATATATAATTCAGAGGTTCATAAATAAAATAATAATAGTACCAAAAATTGACGATTATAATAAAATTTCAAATATTAGGCTAAAAATCTAAAGTACTGATATTTCAATGTAAATTCAAATAATACTTTTGGTTCTTTATTTGCATTTACATCTAAGTCTTTTAACAAGACTAGTTTCAATTAAAGCTCATTAAACAACAAAATGACAAATTATAGTATTTCAATTTTTTTCAAATTCCCGAAATCATCTTTATCAATGTTCCACATTTTGTGGTCGCTTGGGCAGCTACTACAAATCAAATCAAATCAAATCAAGTTAATGGGTCCCAAATTTTAAAGAAAGCAAGGAAAGACAACAAATCAAATCAAGTTAATGGGTCCCAAATTTTAATATTAATCTCTCTATTTTTATCTATAATCTGATTTTTATAAAAAATATATTGAAATTCATAATTTTTTATTATCTTTCATTTGAGACCAATATTACATATATAAAAATAAAAATACATTTGGATGAGGTTTTAAAGTTCAACTTTTAAGGTGATCCAAAAACTATAATTAAGGGTCTGTTTGACAACACTGAAATTGGCTTAATCGATTAAAATTGATAAAGTTTTGGATCAAAAGACTGAATATGCATAATTATGAAATAATTATATTTCAAATACATTTTATTAATAAAAATCGAAAAAAATTATATGGAAATTAGCTAAAATGTTCACTAACAGTAACCTTTCCCAGAAAAATAACACAAACCTTACTTATTTTGATTATTTTAATTATTATACAATCTACAATAACTTCATCCAATTTCATATTGCGCCGGCAGTAGATGAATTGTATATTAATCAAAATAAATAAGGTTGAAGTTACTTTTCTAATTGAATTGGCTGAAGTTACTGTAGATAAACATTTTAGCTATTCTCATAGAACTTTTGCTTTGAATATAGTGTTTTCATACTAATCAAATTCAATAAATTCAGTCAGAAAAGTAAACACAATCTTACATATTCAGATTAATATACAATTCATTTACCACAGACACAACATGAAATTGACTAAAATTATTGTAGATCGTATGATATTGGACTGATTCCTTTGGACTATGATATCCGGTCTGGACTGAATAGTATTAGGTCCGGTCTTTGGTCCTTTTAAAATGATGATTTCGGTTTCGGTCCTAACTGGTTCCGGTCTGGTCCGATTTTGGACCGGTGCACAAATCGGGTTAAAATCCTCCCAAAAATTCAAGAAATATATCTCAATCAAAAGAAATGAGACAACATCTGTCTAAAAAATCTAGAGGAAAAAAATGAAATTTAAAAATCTGGAAATTTCCAGACATGGGCTTTCCAGCCAAATCCGAGCGGTCAACCGGAGGGGTGACAACATCACAAGTCGTTACTCAAAGCTTCTGGCCAGAGCGGAGTCGCCCCTTGCTTCTCTACCTATTCGACTATTCGTCGACGCGACCTACGGGATTTACCGATTGGAACTCTGTCGTTTCCACCATTAATGGCGCCCTGAAGCAGCTTGTTGGGAAACCTGTCAAACACGGAGCAGAGACACATCAACCAGCGACCGGTGGAGAAATACGAACTCTGGTGCCGGCCTTGCCACCTACTATACGGCGCTGCCCACTGCACTCCTACTCGCTCCACCTCAGCGTCAGTTGTCGTCGCAGCTTCACGACCAGGAAGGAGATGATGACTCAAGCCAAGCTGAGTCTGTAATGCATCGGGGCAGAACTGAATTGGAGGTGGCCACATCCGCATTAGTAAATGCAAGGCACGTGACAGCATAGGTGGGAGACAGAAATTTGAGAAAGAGTAAACACAACAAAGCACCCAATACAAGGCTGAAGGATTACACCTGGCAGAAGACTCCATATAATAGCTAGTCGGTTAGAGGAGAGAGGGTGTGGATAGATTCAATGAAAATTCTTCTCTCTCTCTCTCTTCTGGTTTCATTTCTATTTGCCATTTACTTCCAAAATAAGCAGTCCACTGCTAACAAATTGTTAGAAATTTTGCTACTTTTTTATGCTTGTAATAATGGATTGATGATGATCGGTATTGCTTGATTAGTGATTTATTATTGTGCTCTATTTGTGTGCTTGCTTTGGAGTTCTGTTTGTACATTTTACATTGTTGCTTTCATTCACTCATGGCGGCAGAAGGTACTCGCCTGAAGGAGCTTGATTCTCGCCTGAAGGAACTGTCAAGAGAGATCGGACGGCTGAGAGATCTTCCGAGTGAGGTCCGTCAACTCTCAGAATCGATTTCAGCAACTGATCGAGATCTGCACAAACTTTTGGAGGCCCTGGAGATCCAGCGGAAGGAAGATGAATGTTTTCATACACTGGAATCTATTTTCGATTCATTGGCGAAAAACTCTTCAGATCTTAATCTGGGGTCATCTTTTGGAGGTTCGCGAATTCCTTTTCAGGTTCGGAATGTGAAATTAAATTTTCCTCGTTTTAATGGCTCAAAAGTGTTGCAATGGATTTTTAAAAGCATAACAGTTTTTCTCTTATTATAATATTCCTGATGCTCAACGTTTAACTATTGTTGCGGTTCATATGGAAAAGGATGTAGTGTCGTGGTTCCAAATGATGACTAGGTCTAATTCCTTCCATTCATGGATTGAGTTCACTAGAGCACTGGAACTGGAATTTGGTCCTTCTCCGTACGAATGTCCTCGTTCAAATCTTTTTAAATTGATTCAGGACAATTCGGTCCATGATTATTATTTGAAGTTTACTGCACTAGCTAATCGGGTACAGGGAGTGACTACTGAAGCTTTATATATTAGACTGCTTTGTGGGTGGTTTAAAGGAGGATATTCACAGGGAAGTCATTGCTCAAGCACCAACAACCTTGCTTAGATGTGTTTCCTTGGCTAAATTGTTTGAAGAAAAATATGCCTCCAAGCTCAAACCTTACCAATCCCATTATTCTCCCAAAACACCAAACAATTACAATAATCAGCCTTCTTAATAACTTAAATCCACATCATTACCACCACTACTTCCAAACCCACCAAACCACAGTAATTCGTTCAATGTCCACCCCCAGTCAAGTAATGTTAAAAAGATGTCTGCCACAGAAATGCAACTTTGAAGAGAAAAGGGATTATGTTTTACATGTGATGAGACATTTACCCCGACACACCGTTGTCCTAATAAACAATACTTACTTTTATAGGTGGATGATGATCAAAATGTTATGGAAAACACTCTGGATGGTTCTGATTACATGTCTGGTAAGGAACTGGGTATTACGGTTGAACCTCACCTCTCTTCTAATGCTCTAAAAGGATCAACGAGACGGGACTGGGCACCATGCGTTTTCAAGGAACAATTAATGGATTACCAATCCAAATTTTATTAGACAATGGCAGTTCAGATAATTTCCTACAACCTAGCTCGGATAGCTAAATCCTTGAAGTTACCCATTGAACCTACTGAAAATTTCAAGGTCAAGGTGGGCAATGTATCGGCTTGGACAGTAGAAGGATGCATCAAAGAGTTATCAATTAAGGTTCAAGGACATTCTCTGGCATTACCGGTGTATCTATTATCTCTTTCCGGTGCAGATTTAGTTTTGGGAGCAACATGGCTTTCCACATTGGGTGCCCATATTTCTGATTACAACAACCTATCACTCAAGTTTATGTTGAACAAACAGTTTGTTACATTACATGGTGAGCACCACACATTGCCTAAGAAGATCCAACTTACATAGTTGAAAAGATTACCGAAAACCCATGCCATCGATGAAGTTCATTTCTTATATTTTCAAGCTAATACAAATCCTGAGAATCCAGGGCTGGATATTCCTTTGACCATGCAACCGGAACTGGCATCCTTGCTACAAAAATATCAACAGGTGTTTGATGTTCCAACAGGGTTGCCTCCTCCCAGATATCATACTCATTCTATTCCCTTGGTTCATGGTGCTAACCCCGTTAAAGTTAAACCGTATAGATACCCTTTTAGTCAAAAGCAGCAAATTGAGAAAATGGTTCACGAAATGCTGCAAGAAGGCATCATTGCACCTAGCACTAGTCCTTTTTCTTCTCCTATGAGATTAGTGAAGAAAAAGGATGACACATGGAGGTTTTGTGCAGATTATAGAGCCATGAATGCGAGCACAGTAAAGGATAACTTCCCTATACCCACAGTTGATGAATTAATTGATGAATTGTTTGGGGCTAAATACTTTTCTAAGCTTGATTTGCGGTCAGGTTATCATCAAATCTTGATCAAGGAGGAGGATAGATATAAAAACAACTTTTAGAATTCATCAAGGTTTATATATATGAGTGGTTGGTTATGCCGTTTGGACTCACAAACGCTCCTGCTACTTTCCAAAGCCTTATGAATGATGTATTTCGCAGCTTATTATGAAAATATGTTTTGGTATTTTTTGACGATATTTTTGTCTACAGCCCATCTTGGGAATCTCACTTGCAGCACTTAGAAATGGTTCTGAAATTACTACATGACCACCAACTTTATGCCAAGTTCTCTAAGCGCTGTTTTGATCAGGAAAAAGTGGAGTATTTAGGCCATACGGTTTCTGCTCAAGGGATGGCAAAGGAGACTAGTAAAATACAAGCTGTACTGGATTGGCCCATTCCTTGCAATCTGAAACAGCTACGGGGATTTTTGGGACTGACGGGCTATTATCGCAGATTTATTAGGGATATGCCTCTTTAGCTAGCCCCTTAACAGAATTGCTTAAAAAGTATAGTTTTGTGTTGAACGAGACTGCTACAGTGGCACTTAATCTTCTCAAAGAAGCCATTACAAGTGCTCCAGTATTGAGACTACCTGACTTCTCACTACCATTCACATTAGAAACAAATGCGTCAGGGACTGGGATAGGGGCGGTCTTGAGTTAGCAACAGCACCCCATTGCATATTTCTAAAAAAAATGTCTACAAGAATGCAGTAGCAATCCGCTTATGCCAGGGAATTTTATGCTATTACTGATGTTATTGCCAAGTTTTGGCATTACCTATTGGACCATAAGTTTGTTATTCGTTCGGATAAAAAAAGCTTACGGAGTTTAACTGATCAAACCTTACAAACTTCCAAGCAACAGAAATGGTTGCATAAATTACTAGAATATGATTTTACTATCCACTATAGAATAATGAGGAGAATTAGCTGGATTATTAGAATACTCTCTGATAATTCGTTGTAACTTAGAATCTTCTTGTTGAGCCTGCTGCAATGAGGATAGGATCACTGGGATAGGCTTAGATAGAGCCACATAACATGACCTAAATAAAGAATTCGCAGCCACGTTATCCCATTTTCTCTTCAAAGTTGCATTTCTGTGGCAGACATCTTTTATCTGCCACGTTAAAAAGATGTCTGCCACGTTCAATGAAAATTCTTCTCTCTCTCTTCTGGTTTCATTTCTATCTGCCATTTACTTCCAAAATAAGCAGTCTACTGCTAACAAACTGTTAGAAATTCTTCTACTATTTTATGCTTGTAATAATGGATTGATGATGATCGGTATTGCTTGATTACCGATTTATTATTGTGCTCTGTTTGTGTGCTTGCTTTGGAGTTCTGTTTGTACACTTTACAGAGTCCCTCGCCGACAACAACCTTAGGGCTTGGGGGTGTGGAATTGCCCGGCCACAACCTATCTTCTCTCTGGTTCCATCCAAAGAGACATCTGTAAGACATCGATTAAGGCACCAGTAGGTCAAATTGGGCAGTGTTTTTGGGCCATGGAGAGTGCAAAAATAGTGGTCCATCCCACCGTTGGTCCAATCCAATTTTCAGCGGGCCAGATTCAACATATTTTCTGCCCTGTCAAAAGCTAAGTGCTTCAAACTCCCTCCATAAAATTAATACTTCCTCCGTTCTTTTTTAGTTGCAACATTCCACTTTTCACGCTTGCCAATGCACAACTTTGACCGTCATTATATTTAATTCTCTATTAGTAAAAAAAATTTAAAAATCAGATTATGATACTTTGTAATGAGACGAATTTAACAATATTTTTTTAAAATAATAATTCACATACATTAATAAATAAAACGTAGTCAAAGTAGAGCACATGAATAGTGCGTAAATTCTAATGTTACAACTATTATGATACGGAGGATGGTACATGGAAATATTTGATTAAAAAATTCATAAATTGAAGGGAAAATTGTCAAATAGGCCCTCGTAATATGTCAAAAAAGTCAATTAAACCATCCAATTTAAATAACACCCAACTAAACCCATGAACTTCAAAAAAATGTTCAATTATGTACTTTGACCTATAAATGTCCGCTTAGCCGGTATAAAACCTATGTGGATTTTCCCATTTTTATCTTTTCCTTCTCCCTCCTCTAATTTCTTCCGGCCAACCCATTAGATTTTTCTTTCTCCCCACTAGGGGTGTAAATGAGCCGAGCTGAGCCCGAGCATGGGTAGGCTTGAGCTTGAGCTTGATAAGAATTCACGAGCTCGAGCTCGAGCTTGGACGAGTTAAATAATTCGGGCTTGAACTCGAGACGACCTCAATTCGATCTCGGTTCGAGCTCGGGTCAAGTTTCACAAATTAATTTTTATAGGCTTGAACTCGAATAGGCTAGAGCCACGCTCTTTCGAGCAATTTTGTCACTTAATTGGCATTCACATTTTCCGAAAGGGCTGATACACTTTAGTTCTTTGGGGGGTTGGATTATCCGTTCGAATCATCGCTCGCGGATTCAATCTTTCTTTCGGAGGCTGGGTTGAGGCCTAACTTGGGAACTTGATGCCACTCTTTTCGAGTAGTGAGTCCAACTCACTTACTCACTGAGCCGCGATTCGACACCAAGGCCAGATGCTCTATTCTACACTTGTTGCTTTTATGTGTAGATACAACTGAACGAAAACGAGCCTGGTGAGTCTGAGCCCGGCGAGAAGAACAGTTCTAGTCATCCTCTTCGCAGATGGTGACCATTGCAAAAAAGGTTGAAGATTTTACCCCTTGCTTCATCTCAGGGGCATCATGTGTACTCTTTTTCTCTTCATTAAGATTTTTTCTCATTGATTTTTTTTTTTTGCAATGAAGGATTTTAATGAGGCACCTCTCCAATATGGACAAGGGCGGAGATCTTTCAGTCTCGTAGAAGGGCAACTGACTTGGACTACTCCCTCTTAGCCAAGTCTACTACTCGACTAAGGGAGTGGGGGACTCGTGATGGAGTTATGGGACTAGGCCCAACGCCTAATCGGCCCAAGCCTGCTACTCCGGCCAGGAGCCTGCCAGTCCGATTGACCTGCCAGTCAGGAAGCTAAGAGTAACGGTCAAGCGATTATTGTCTTGTTTAGTTATGTATTTAATTCTATATTAATGTTGTAATTAATTAGTCATTATAATTGATAGCGGTTGCAACTTATAACAACAAGCAATTGTAATTCAAATGAACGACATGCACTTTCTGGCTATCAAACTCTTGAGCAACTTTCCTTATTCGTCTTGCTTTCTTGATTCATGCTGAGTGTTCTTTCGTAGTTTTCCTAAAAATCTACGAGCGTTCTATTTTTGACTTACAGAAATATTTATGTATAGTTAAGAGTTAAGGTATCAATGCGCAACAATAACAATAGTTACGGTACCATTTATACATTTGACCCGCCGACCATTTTTCCTATATATATATACTTGGCCTGATGGGTTACTGTCGCATGATATGTTATATGTGTAGAGTTAATTTCATTTCAATTAAATGTCTCACATTGAAACGCAAATTTTATTTTGTGACAAAGCAGTGTGATGTAGGGGTGTTTGGAACTGATTTTGCTCCTGCTTCTTTTTTAAAGCAAGAAGTAGAATCAGAATCAATTTTCAAAAGTGGCTTCCCCTAGCTTCTAAAAAACTGATTCTAGGAGTAAATTAGAGCACCAGAATCACTTCTGCATTTCCACTCAAACACTCCAACTTCTGTTTCTGCTCCCTGAAGAAGCAGAAGGTCTTTCAAGAATCAAATCCAAACTCCCTGTAATCTACATTTGTTGGTAGATATTTTGGTTGCTTTCACACTGGATTCTATTGATCATCTTACCCCTTGTCCTTAATTTTGTCCTTCAAAATGTTCTTCGATTATATAATCTAAATATATACCACCTCCGTCCTAAATTAAAATTAACTTCCCATTTCGGATTACGATTCTTGACTGGCGATAAAGCAATTTGATTCCTATTCACGCTCAGATTACTTTTAGTAAATAAAATTTACATTTTCAGAAACTATATTAAAACCACAAAGCCTGATAAAAAATTGTAAATTTGATTAAAAAAATTGATATTTAAAGCTAAAGATTAAGAGTAATTTAAGTTGATCATGTGAATAGTGAATGAGAAGTTAATTTTGGGATGGAGGGAATAATACGTATGAGTTATTTGTGAGGCGTTGTGTGTTGTTAATCTATTATATAAATTATATATTTAGTTACTTGCTTTTATATCAGGATGTTTTTATTTGTGTTTTAAATTTTTTTATTTGGTCTGGTCTGATCTGGTATGGCCGGGTTTGTTAAAGTCTGATATGGTATGGTCTCTTTGTTTAAGTCTCATTTGCTCTAGTCTATTTAAGTCTGATCTAGTTTGGTCTAATTTATTCTAGTCTGATCTGAACTAGTCTGATACGGTAGATGTTTGTTCTGTGTATTTTACAACTGTCAAAATTTGGTCTGATCTAGTCTGATTTAGTGTAGTTTGATATTCTTCGAGCTGGGCTGGCGTGATCTGATCTGAGTTGAAATTAGTCCAATTAAAAACATCTTTATTCCTTTTTATTTTTTGAAAGAATCTTTATTCCTTTTAACAAAAGAAAATACTACAAAATGTTCTATGCATAGGGTTAAGGATATTCAGGGATTAGCAATATATTGGAATAAAAATACACACGTATTATGAGAAAAATCCTGACACGCAATGGACGCATAACATGACCAGGGTGAGCGAGAATAAAAAAAGCAATGACAAAAGGGAGAATAAAAGAAAAGAAAATAGAAGCAAATAAAAGAAAAAGTACAGCTAGGGAATCTGCGGTAAAGGTTTGGCTTGGAGTCTTATAGCAGAAGCTTGATCCATGCTCCACAAAAAAGCCAACAAATATGCCTTACTCCCTCCATATTTCATCCAAACACATTTTATAAGGTTTGAAGTGTTCTAAAAAGGTCTTAAAGTGAGATATGTTGCTAAGTAGTAACATTCATATATGACTTGTGTAAGGTGTTAGAGATCATATAACCGAATTTTTTTGAATCCTTTTGTATATGGGCCGCGAGTTTTGTACTGGTTGGGCCGCACGTCCTATTAGTATTGGGATTAGGTTTTACTCTCTATAAATACAAATTCTCTCCTTGTAATCATCATCAGAAAATAATAGTAACATCCTGGTTTGGTAGCGCTCCCAGACGTAGTCCTTTGTGGCGAACTGGGTTACCAAATTTCGTGTGTTCTTTCCTATTGTTCTTCCTATTGCGTTAGTTTAATTCCTAACAACTTAATTACTACTCCCTCTGTTTCGCAAAATACTTTCTAGTTTGACTTAGATTGAAATTTAAGAAAGTAATAAAAAATGCAAATGTATTGTTGCGATTGAGCAAGGAAAAAGAAAATGAATGATAACCACACAAATGTTCCAAAAGGGGAATTAGGAAGATTTTTTTGTAACATCTCAAAAAGGTAAGTGAGAAGAATTTTCCAAAGATGAAGGGAGTATTTGATAATGTTATTTTTGATGTGTTTATACTTCGTATTTCTGTATGGTATGAGACCTTGTTACTCTTTTAGTTTGTATTGTGTGCATGCTAAGATTTATAGACTATTTTTTTATTTGGCTGTTCCAACAATATTCTTATTATTTTCCTTTGAAAGTAATAATTTGTGAGTTTTTTCCCGATCGAATCACTTTAATTTCCTTCGCTAGGTTTGTTCAAATGTGAAAAATATTCAGAAGGAATGAGAGGCGAGACAAAAACACACGTATTACCATTAGGAATTAATTAATAATAAACCGATGAGTGAGGAGTAATAAACTACCAGTGATGGTTACTCCTAATTTAAACTTTTACAACACAATGCTCTTGTTTTAGAATTAAAATTATATTTTACACTTGATTAGAGCAATTTCTTCGTATTAAAAGGGAATGAAGAGTAGCTAAAAAGCATGCCCAAACTGTTATTCCATAGCATAGAAAGCCAAATTCCATGACCTCTCTTGATTCAATCTATCAAGGTTGGATCCAGAAATTTAGTTGGACTGAGTTAATTAAAGAGTAATTGAGCATAAAGATTCACAGAATTGAATAGGCTAAATATGAAAAATGAAAATAAAAATACACTAAAATTTGGACAAAAATAAGTTTCATTGTGCTTCAACCCACCATAATTAACCCTAATATACGTAAATTCATCCTACTCAACCATCCCTGTTCGTTATTCAAAATGAAGTAAATAAAAAGAAACAAAGAAGGGTCAAGTACATGTTCGAATCTTATCTCATTTCACTAATGTTTGGGTTAACATAGAACATATACTATAGTAGGTTATGAAAGTTCAGGGGAAAAAATTGTGGAATTCATTCCGTTTTATATCTATCCCATTGTAGCCTTAACATATTTATTCAGTGGTTGATTTGCTATCATTTAATGAATAATTTGGTTATTTGTTTTCTAAAAAATACAAACAAAAAAAGATTGAAATAAACTTTCTCGAGGATCAAGAGTCAAAACTCGAGTCCAACAGTAACAACAATAAATCTTTTAAAAAAAAAGGCTATGGGAAAGAAAAACTGTATTTAAGAATCTTCCTATCCGCTGCCTTCGGTAAAGCAAGTAACTGAAGAAGATTCTCAGGCCATTTCTCTCAAAAGCGTAGGGCTGTCCTTTAATAAGGTTAATATATATTCTCTCTTTTGCGGAGACGTATAATTTCCCTTTATTAAGCTTTCTAGGCACGTCCACTGTTTTTCCATTAATTTAGAGTTTTAGGACTTAGATCAGATATTCCTTCCTTAGAAGCAAAAACATATTCCTCTAAAAAGAATTAAATCGAATGTCTCACATACACCAATATAGACGATGCGTATTACTCCGTATAAATATTCTTCCCTTTCTTCTTTCTTTAATTTCTCTCTTAAAAAATCAATCCATTAATAATGCAAAGATATTCTGTTTCGTATCAAACACAAGGTTTAGTGCACCAAAACCTCATGTGATATATAAATTCAGCACATTAGCCCTCTATAATTTAAAAAATACGTTAAACCCCCTTGTGTTATGTTTATTCATGCGCAGAACCCCTTTCGAGAATAAATTTAACAATTTGCAAATCACTTATCTTCATATTATGAATAAATATGCAAGTAAATTTGTCAAGATCACTAAATTATACAAAAATACTAATTATTTTCGATTTAATTGGCAATTAAATTTGTTATTGGAGGGGGTTTTGCACATAAATGCTTTTTTTTTACCCCGAAATGTCAACCACCAAAATCAGTGGGATAAATGCCGGAGACATTTACAATTTTTATTATTATTTAAGTCTAAAAAACTTATAAATTACAACAAAACGAAGGAATATTAAATAAATCTAAGTAATAGGCACTTCTAACAATAGGAGGAAGCGAAAGAAGTGTAGAAAAAGTAGTCAATTGGGCCACTTGAGAACTTGCTAAATAGTGAGCGGGCCAATTGCCTTCCCTCAAAACATGCCCAAATGTAATGTTGGCCCGTTTGGCAATGTCCAAAATTTGGTCGATAACCCCTGTCCAAATACTCCTCCGCTTTCCTAAAATATACTCAATCGCCTCAGAAGCATCAATTTCAACCTGAAATCCAACATATGAGGCTAATACGGCGAATTTATAAATCATATGGGGGTTTGGTGCATTAAACCCGTCAAACACATATAATTATCCAGGGTGATATGATTCTACGGAGTACTTAATTATTGGAAAATTATATGTGTACACAAATTGTACACATCTCTTAATTGTTGTACACAGTCAACTTATTTAAAAAAATCGATAGTTGTCTACAAATGCTTGTGACAATTTGTGTACAACTTTTTGTGCACAACCAGAATTACCCGTGTTTGACATGCTTACATACAAATTAATTGATTTGAAACTACCAAATGATAGATCTAGGATCGCATAAATTTAACCCTTAGTTTTAGGATGTAGTAATTTAATAACTCATATATATTATCGACTCCTTTGACAATATCTAAGTGTATTGAACCAAAATTTGAATTTCATTATTCAAAAAGTTGAACAATGTTTCCTATTACATAATAACTTATTATGTAATACAAAATGGAGACAGTTAAAAAATGAACATATGTAGTTACAACATACACCAATTATCAATAACTATATATGAATTCTAATTAACCTTTATATAGTCTTATGTATTTGATGTCTATTTAACCTATTCCAAATTATACTTCAATCAACCATTTCTATCATAAAACTCACAAAGGATACCCCATTCCTGAGGATCCATACATACACCAGTTATCAATTATGAATTCTAACCTTAAAATAATTGTTTGGATTTGATGCATGTCTATTTAACCTATTCGGCTATTCCAATGTATACACTTCAACCATTTATATCATAGAATTCACAAAGCATACCTCATTAGTCAAGACTACTAGGTATGTAAATTGAACATTTAATCACAAGGAGGTGATTACACTCAAATCCTTTTCTATATATTTTAATACCAAATAATGTTCTTTGGTGGGTAAATGGGATGGCAGATTCTGGATACATCTTTTTCACTGTTTTTTCCCCGATTCTCCTCAACTTTTGTGCCATTATCTAACTATAGATAGTATAGGTTCGTTCTAATTAGCTGTCAAAAATATGCTTCCCTTTAACATGAAGCTAGCTAGAATTGACTTTTTTTAGCAAATGGATGAAGCATCCAATATTAGATACCACTCTTTATTTTGGATTATTAAACCAATTATGACGGACGTTTTAAGCAATATTGGAGTGTTTGGTTAAAAGTACATATTTACCTCCCACAAATTGCTCATAAAATTAATTGTTTAAATGTTGGGGGAGATCAGCTTTTGAAAAATTGTATCTGATATTACTTCTGCATTTAAAATAGGAAACAAAAGCAAAAGCAGAACCAATTTCAAACACTTTAAAAAAAAGTCAAAAGTTCAGTTTGAATATAAGCAAGTTAGAAATTTAGCTCCTTGAATTCAAATGGATGGAGCATATATAGTTATACTAGCTTACTTGAACAGACCCAAGGGATGTAATACTTTGGATGCATATTGTACCAGAAAGTGTGTCGTACGTGGTATTATGTGCGTGACATGTGTGGCATCTCAATTAGAATCTAACCAATTCTAAAATAATAACTCCATTATATACTTGTGTGAGTTATAAATTTTATATTTTTATGAATTTATTTTAGTAAAGAACAATTCTATATCGTTTTTATATTATATACTACGCACGATAGTATTATTTACTTATAAATATATATTTGGTCAAATTTTAACATGGGGACCAAAAAGTTAAAAAAAAAAACTTTAAGGGGCGGAATTATTGTTGTTGTTGTTATTGATTATTACAAGTATAATTATTGGATTTTGAATAATACATATTTAGTAGTTTTCATTCCCTTTTCATATTCGATCAGCTTTGTAGACTCATATATATCAAACCTCTCTATCCATTACTAAACAACACAAATTTTACACTAGCTCCTTCAAAGTATGTCGAAATAAAATTCGCCCAGTAGAAAACAGAAAATATGAGAAAAAATGTCAAACATAAGTATAGGGTCCCCAACTTTAGAGCATCATATATATGTCATCGATTTAGAGTGGGGTAGGAAGAGGTAAAATATGAAGTTAATATATATAACGGGTTAAGATCAAATGTTGCGCGCCTTAGCTTAGGGCAAGGATCTTTTAGATAAGTAATGTAAGTATATTATTAATCAATATGTAACTGGACTACACAAAAAGTGGATGTTTATTAATAAGATATTTAGATAGATTCAAGTGACTAATAAAACGATTAACAAATTGTGAAAGGGAAGAGACGAATCATTTTAGGGGGAAAGAAGCTAAGGAAATAGTCTGGCGCCTATTGAATGTTAAGGGCGGAGAAGAATCTCCTAACGTAAGTGGATACGTATAATAAAGGGATAAGGCTCAAATTGGATACTGTTGTTTCATCAGAATCTCATATTGGACACTAAGGTTTCAAATGGACCAAATTAGACATTATGGTTTCATATGTATCTCATATTGGACACTAAAGTTTCAAAATTCAATATAAGTGAGTGTCCAATTTGATCTTTATCCAATATAAGTGAGTGTCCAAAAACTATAAATTATGAAACTTAGTGTCCAATATGAGATATATATGAAACCATAGTGTCTAATTTGGTCCATTTGAAACCTTAGTGTCCAATATGAGATTCTGATAAAACCATAATGTCCAATTTGAGCCTTATCCCTATAATAAAAACATATCCAAAAGTCCCTAAGTCCCATTTGATTTCGGATAATTAAAGAATATCGGAAAGCCCCAAAGCACCCGATTAAAATTACTCTTTTATGTAATCTGACACAAGTTAACTAAGCATTCCAGCCCTAAGCACATAAGGGTTATTATGTTTAGTGGGAGATTTCGAGCTCGAAACCCGCTAAACATATAAAGATTCGAAACTCAATGGGCTGATTTTCAGCCCTGATTACTCCAGGTCCCCCCCAACCCCCCTCCACCAGACCCTGGAGTAAAAAAAGATCGAAAAAAAACGTAATCTGACACAACACTACAAAAATAAGGTCCAATACCAACGAACTTTCCAACCGATTTTATTGAAATAGCCGTTGGAAATGATATTTCCAACAAATAAGCGACAGAATTTGGTCATTGGAATACGCTGGTTGGAAATGTTTCCAACAACCATTTCCAACTGATTTTAAATCTTTCCGCCAGAGTTCCAACGGATATATCTGTTGGAATATTCCAACGGATAAAGTGGTTGGAAAAGGGCAACCGAAAAATCCAGCCTCATTTTATAGGCCAACAGATTTCCAACCAATTAATCTGTTGGAAATTTAATACAGAAAAAATATATTTATAAGCTTCCAACGGATAACACTAGTTGGAAATGCATTCCTGTTTTTTTGCAATTCAATCTCAGTTAGATGTGGGTTTTGTACTGTAGCATCCAGAAAGTGTCACCAAAATAGTGAAATACTGTCAATGCACAAGTAAATTTGAAAACGATCCATGAAATACCACTTCAAGAGTGTACAAAAACAGAGTTAATACAAAGCAAAAGCATGACAAATAAACGACAAATAAACGTAAAGATTGTTCATTACATAACTAAATAAAACTTGAACCGCAAATACTTCTTCATTCTCCACCACCTTGATTGCCTCCCTCATTTCCAGCAAGGAAATTGTTGAGGAAAGTGTCATCTAGAGAAGTGCTATTACGATTTTGTAGAGGAATGAATTGACATGGCACTTGAGAAGGCATGGATGGTTGAAGCGACACAGGTTGTTGTCCCGACACGTAACCATTCGTGTACATTGTTGGATAATAAGGAACGGGTTGTGAGTGCAGATTGTGTGTCATCCTTGATGGAACCGTAGGAAACATAGATGAGTGAAGGTCAGACATGAAACCTTGTGTAATATTTGGAGCCGAATGAGTGGTAGACCCATTAGTAGGACCTATGCCCCGCGTCGCCAGTATCTGGTCCATTTTATCCAGCACCGTCGTTTTAAAAGCTTCGAAATCCGCAGCTTTCACATATTGCGTCTGTTGAGATGAAGTGGGAGGAAATGAACCATTGCGCAAAGCTGCCACAGTAAAAGGATCCACCCCAAATATTTTTCCTTTTTTGGGAGATACAACTTCAAAAAAAATAGCATTTTCATCCACTTTGCCCCCTTCAGAGTCTTGAGTTTGACGATCTATCTCTGCCGCAACTTTTTCCTATTAAAATATATGCCGATATTCAATTACATGAAGTAAAAATAATATAAATATTTAATGTAACTACAAAATAATGTAACAAGTTAAATTTCATTTAATATCTCACTAGTAAATAATTGAGAAACTAAAGAAATCTTAAAATTTGGCTACAATTAAACAAAATAATGCATTCAAACTGATTATGAAATAAAATTCTGCTATGACAAATATGGCCAACGCAGTTACATCTGTTACAATACAGAATATACGTGCCACTTTTGGTTCAAATCATTTAGATAAAAGAAACTTGCACTCTAAGTTAAAAACAGAACATATGAAATACTTAAACCAAAATACATAGGTATATTGCTTGTTAATAAAGTCCAGGTGAGGTAAATAAATGTTAGTCAACCAATGACCAACTTTCATGAGTAATGCAATCTTACAAATGCAGTATATTCTTAAAACAAGAATTCATACATGTAGAGAAATATATGGTTCATTAGTTTCAAAATCATGTTCACTGCATTATATACTTGAGAATAGAATTTTGAGAATAAAGGCACAGACTCAAATTTTGAATTTGACAATTAAAATATCTCAGTATTTCATTTAGATAAAGAAAAGTAACACTTAACATTTAAATGAAACGTAAAGCAATTGAAATGTCTTGGCAGAAAACAAACAGTGAGCTGAATGCCGATTTTTAATCAAATGAATAGAACAAATAGGCATTCAAACAAACATGCAGTAGTGTCTAGCATTCTTTTTGTATCAGTAAATTTAAACAAACATGCAGTAGTGTCTAGAATTCTGGAATAAAACTCTACTAATACAAACAAATTAATGCATTGAAACTGGTAATGAAATAAAATTCTTCAATTATGTATTAAACTAAGTAAAAGTAATTTCAATACCCATGTATTCAAACTGAAAATCTGCTAAAAAATAACAAATAGAACTATACCGCAATCTCTTGAGCTCGGGGACCACTCCATTCTTTAGTTTCTTTTTTTTGGAACCCATCTTTGACAATCTCAGTAGCAAAGGGCGTCCTCCCCAATTTTTGAGCCTGTATAATAATAATATATAATCAATAACTCAATTCAGTAATTAATTTAAAATAAATAGTAAATACTCATTTACAAGTACAAACTTACTAATCGTTCCGCTCTCACTTTTTGTGAAACAGACCCCCCGCAATATGGAGAGCTTCTACAACCAGCCGAAGAGCTATTTTTTTTATTTGTTTCTGACTTCTTCTTAAACTTTAGAGACGCCCATTGCCCTAGCATGTCCCGCCAATGTACCGGCGATATCCATTTAACCGTTTTGTTCTTATCACGGGCTTCATTAAAGACACCCGTCAGCCACACTGAACATCTAGAGTTAAAAGCTCGCTGGATTTCAGATTCTTCAGCCGGAGGATATGTGTGGTTCCGCTGCATATTTTTATCACGGGCTTCATTAAAAACACATATTTATCATTAACTAAAGTAAAATATCAATTGCAAATGACAAATACACATATATCAATACTCAGATTTACCTTAAATTCCCTAAACCATTGTTCACGAATAGGCTTAGGCACATCTCCATAACAAATCCATGGTCCAGTATAAGATCCTTCTAATATCTTTTTAACCTCGTTCAAAACTTTTTGCCTACAATCATTTAACGTTACAATAATACACTGAATAATATTTTATGAACAGGATATCCAAAAGTATTACTTATGTAATATCAAACCATTACTTAGGAAAGTCTTCAACTGATATCGGTGTGCGCACTATATTTGCCGATCCTTCACCACCGTAAGAACCAAATGCAGAGGCAGCCGACTCATGGTGGCCTTCCGGAGTGTATGGTCGGCTTTCGTTCATAGGCTGGTCAGCTTCAATCTCATCATCCTCATCAGACTCATATTCTTCAATAATTGGGGAACCATAATTTTGTACCAGCGGAACTTGTCCCCCTCCTCCTCCCCTACCCCCTTTTCCTCCCCTACCACCCCTACTGAAGCTTGACCGTCCCGACATGTTAAACTACATAAAAGGATGATAAATATGGCGTATAACTAAAATTGATTTCAATACTTCATAATCGATTAGTTCCAATTAAAGCCATTAAAGCGAAAACAACTTATTTCAAGCCACTTTATGATACACATGTCAATATCCAACAATAAACAGAATTTAAATCCATTTCATTATATGTGTGTTCAACACATATTTACTACGGTATAATATACTTTATATATTACATGTACTTATATGTGTGTTCAACACTTATGTGATTACAAATGTGAACATTAATAAACAAGACCTAATAATAGATACAATAAAGTGAAACATCATTGAATGATATCGTGAGAAGACTAGCTCCTGACCAAATAAAATTATGGATGCACATTTAAAACAAAACATTATATGCTGAAAGTTAAATAAATTTAGGAAGCATATGGCCTTGAAATAAATAAATAAATAAAATCAGATTTAACTTTAAATATGAAACATTCAACTGAGAGCGGCTACGTACCTGCAACGTGATCGACCGAGATGCTACACTGCCGAGTTTGGAACGAAACACGGCGGGTGAAGGAAGACAGACAGGCGGTGGAGATTAGGAAGAATCAACGGTATAAAACATTATAAGTTGAAAGATTGAGAAGAGAAGATAAAAGATAGGCGTACCTGGAGGTTTGGGACCCTTGCTATGGCTCCTTCCCCTTCTCTGCGTATCTGGGTTATCCGCGTGCGGCAGCTTCTTTAGGGTTCACAGTATATGGTTTACGCTTTGTGTATCTCAATGGATAAAAAAGCCCACTTTTTGACCTCCCTTTTGATCCATTCTCTATTTTTGTATTCTAATAATTGCTTTTGGTATTCTTTGTTTCTCTTAGAAAGGCCTTTTGATGTTACTCCGTATTATTATTCTCTCGTTTTTTGGAAGGTCTCAATTAGGATGTTTTTACTTGGACTGTAATTTGTTGGTCTGGCCTGGTCTGATCTGGTCTGGTCTGAACTGGTCTGGTCTGGTAAGGTCTGGTTTCTTTGTATTTTTATAACTATCCAAGTCTGGTCTGGTCTGGTCTAGTCTGAACTGGTCTGGTCTGGTCTGGACTGGTCTGGTCTTTTCTGGTCTGGGGCAAATTACAGTCCAAGTAAAAACATCCTTAAAGTTCAATTTCTATTATAAAAAATAACTAACACTTTTATATGATAATTTCATATTTTAATCTAGTCTGATCTGGATTAAATTTTGTCATTTGATTTAAAATTGAGATATAAAAGTTGGAGGGATCAAACATATTACATAAAACATAACTGATATTAAGATTAATGCTTACTTTTAAAAAATAAAATTTCATATTTTATTTTAGTTTGGTTTGTTCGATTCGGTTCGGTTTTGAAGGGTAAAAACCAAAACCGAACCAAACTACTATGGTTCGGTTCGGTTTTTTACATTCGGTTTTCGGTTTTCGATTTTTCGGACCCAGCCCTAAAAACAATCCAAAAAAACATCCTTATATGATTTTGAACTAATAATTTCCTTTATGTTATTGTAACACTAGTATTACACTCGTGTGTTGCACATGATGTATTTTATACTCCGTAAATTTTGTAAATGTAAATATATGTGTATATTTATGAATCTATATATGTAACTAAAATATAACGTGTAAAAAATAATTTGCAAATACATTTCGATATAGAGAAGTTCACAAATGTTCCACAACGATAAGATTCGTCATCATGAATTACAAATTTATTCTTCGATCTTCAAATCAAATTAAAGAAAAATATCATCTAACCCTCTTCCTCTGAGTTGTTATTGTCTTCTTCATTTCTAACTTCATCATCTGGATCACTTTGGTTATTGGTATCTATTTCATCCTCGTCCCCATATACTTCACCAAATTCCGTAACATTCTGAGTATTGTCATTAGTTGGAACAGCTTCAAGAACTTCAACTAAAGGAATGTTTATCTCTATTCCAGGATCCTGTAACTCTAGAAAGCCCTCCATAATTTCAACTGTAGGAGGTGGTTCGGTTTCTTCAGCTTGGTATGGTTCATCATCTACAATCTTCCATTCTCCTTGAATAGCATTCCTTGCTCTAACTTTGCACGCACATTTCCAACCACGTAAAGATGCGGTACGGCCCATTGGGTATTCAAGAAAGAACACTTGAGTTGCCTGTTGTGCTAAGATAAATGGCTCAAAAACTCGATAAACACAATCAAGCTTCACATCAACAATATTATATTTCTCATGTGCTCGCATACCACGCACAGGATCAACCCATGTGCAATTGAACAGCACAACTTGTAGTTTTAGCGGACCAAGTAGTTCAACCTCAAGTACCTCTTCTAAAGTTCCGATCCAATCTGTGCTTGAGTTATTGTAATTTGAAGAGCGGACACATACTCCACTATTATATGTTTTCTTCCCAATTCCATAAGATCGGGTATGGAATGTATAGCCACCCACTATGTATGCAGGACGTGATTGAGCCCGAGCATTTAACCCGAATGCCAGTGCTTTTATTAAAGGGTCCGAAACTCCATTATATGGATTCATCACCTACAAGTGTACAACACAATTAAGTGAAAATAACGAATAACAATAATGTGATCCACATTGTGTGTGTGCAAACTTACGTAAGCACTAAACCATTCAGCGAAGTTGTTGGCGATAATGTGATCCACGTTCGTGTGGCCTTGTGATTCAATGAAGTTTGCATAAATCCTGTCATACCAATCATATGTCAATATGACTTACACAAATAATGCATATTACTAAAAAAAGTGAAGAATGTGAATATAAAATACATACTCATAATATGGTCTCACTTCTGCACAGTTTAGTAAGATATATGTATATGCAACTTTTAATTCTTCACCAACAATGTAACGTAAGGTAGACTTCCCATGTGCGCGACCGGGATGATTGAAAATTGAGAAACTCATTGAAGTTGTTGAAGATGAAGCACCAACATCGTTTCGAGAAGGCCTAATACGTTTAGAACGTATTGATGATTCAAAGTAGTAAGATGCGAAAGTTGAAAGCTCCTCATCGATGTACGCACTACAAATGGATGCTTCAATGTGCGCTTTATTAGTGATTTTCTTTTTTAGGCGCCCAAGAAACCTACAATTGTTTAAGCAATCAGGATGTCATAGTACACATATAATATGTGTAGCGGTTTGTAAAAATAAAAAATTACCTCTCAAACATATACATCCATCTATATTGCACTGATCCACACACTCTTGCTTCATAAGGTAAGTGAACGATTAAATGTACGGAAGCAGTGAAAAAACCCGGTGGAAATATTTTCTCCATGTTGCATAGCAGAAGAATAACAGACTTCTCTAACTGTCTAAGCAATTCTACATCTACCACGCGTGTGCACAACGTTTGAAACACTTGGCTTAGCTCAGCAATTAACTGCCACACATTTTTTGGGACCATTTCACGAAACGCTATTGTGATAAGTCTTTGCATAAAAACATGACAATCGTGACTTTTCATATGAACAACTCTCAAACTGTCTGCACTAATACATCTACGAAAGTTAGATGTGTATCCATCTGGGAATCTGATAGAAGCAATCCAGTCCATAATCACTTTTTTCTGTGCAGTTGTGACTGTGTATATAGCCTTATTAATTTTATCAACAAAATCAGAGGTCACACCTATGCTAGGCCGATCACAGTAAATTCCAACATCTTTTCGTGCCTTCAAGTTATCTTTCGTCCTTTCTTTGTCATTCAAGAGTGTATAAAACAAATTGTCAAATACATTCTTCTCTATGTGCATGACATCCAAATTGTGCCTAACCAGTAAAATTTTCCAATAAGGAAGATCCCAAAAAATACTTTTTTTTGTCCATTTGTGATCTGAGCCATAACCTTCAGGTAATTCATTGGGGTCATCAACTGCTGTATCTATCGCCGCGACGCGATCATAGATTTGTTCCCCTGATAATCTAACGGGTGGACGATTAGTTTCCTTTCTTCCTTTTGTGAAAGAACTTACATCTCTACGATATGAGTGATTGCGTGGAAGGAATTGCCTATGACAATCAAAATAACAGGCTTTTCCACCATACTTAAGGTGGAATGCCTTGCTATTTTCCATACAAATAGGGCATCCTAAAACTCCAGCAGTACTCCATCCTGAGAGCATCCCATAAGCAGGAAAGTCACTAATGGTCCACATTAAAATGGCTCGCATAGAAAACATTTCATTTTTGGCCACATCATACGTTATGGAACCCTCATCCCAAAGATGCTTTAACTCATCAATTAGAGGTTGCAGATAAACATCAATCTTTTTCTTAGGACACATTGGACCAGGAATAATGAGAGATAAGAACATGTATGGGGATTTCATGCACATACCAGGGGGAAGATTGTACGTCGTTAGAATAACCGGCCAACATGAATATGATGCGCCATACTGCCCGTGTGCAGCAAATCCATCTGAACACAACCCCAATCGAACATTACGCGGATCCGAGGCAAAGTCAGGATATATATTGTCAATGTGCTTCCATGCCTCACTATCAGAAGGATGACCCATCAAATTTCCAGTGGACTCATGAGTAGAATGCCATATCATGGACTCAGCAGTTTGACGTGATGCATATAGTCTTTGCAACCTCGGTGTTAAAGGTAGATAACGTAATACAGAAATAGCTGTTCGCATCTGTCTTTTTGTCCTGGAATTCTGATCCGAAGCATATGTGTAACGATTCTCACCACAAAATCTACACACTTCCAAATTTTCATCATTTTTCCAGAACAACATACACCCTTTAGGACAAGCGTCAATCTTCACCACCGGAAGACCTAATTCAGAAACAAGTTTTTTTGTCTCATAATAATTTTTTGGGACAGTATTGTCACGGGGTAAGTATCGACCAAATAATTCCAACCACCGATTGACTTCATCTTGTGAAGCATTAAAATCAGATTTTATACTCATTACTTCAGAAACAAATTGCAATTGGGAGCCTTCATTACATCCTTCATATAAAGGCTGATCTGCAGCTTGTAACACATTTTGAAAATGATCCGCCAAGTATGATACGTCATCTACATTAAGTGATTCTTCTCCACTTTGTTCTCCATAAATATGACCATGGTTTATGGAGTCTGGCGGCACATAGCCCCCAATAATGTCTTCTAGCATCCTTTCGCCCCATGGTGTCTCATCTTGGCTCCCCGAATGTGGTCCATGAACATTATCAGCATTATATTCATGTGGGGTGTGTGAATCCACAAATGTGGAACTTTGTAACAATTCTCCATGAGAAGTCCAAGTCTCATAATCAGCAACAAATCCATGTCTATAAAGATGAACCTTCACTTCCTCAATAGCATGAAATCGTCGGTTGGCACACTTTCGACATGGACATCGAATTTCTTCTCCGCCACTAAAATCTTGTTGAAGACTAGCGAATTGAACAAAAGATTCAACACCATTCATGAAATGTGTAGAAACATTTTTTGTATTTGGATCGTATCTATCATACATCCAACTTCTATCTACTCTATACATACTAAAAATATGTAATGGAAAGTGAGATTAAAAATATATAGTAAGTTAGGGAGAAGCATAGAAGGAAAATATATGTATTCTCGATCTAGCCAAGTTGAACTGTAATGTAAAGGCAGAGCAATGTTTAGTCTAGCTTTAAATTGATTCTGGAATATCTACTTCCAATGGATTTCCAACGGAATCCCGACGGCCCTCCAACGTCTATCCAACAGATTTCCGACGGCTTTCCAACGACCTTGCAACAGATTTCCAACGGATGGCATTCGTACCAGAAGCCAAATCCGTCCCACTGACTTCCAACGGCATTCCAACGGCCTTCCGATTCCATTCCAACGAAATTCCGACGGAAGGTTGATGTAATGCAGTTACAAATTTTCCTACGATGTTCCAACGAATTCCCAACTTCGTCTGTTGGAAGGCTGTTGGTAGTTTGTCGGAAATTTCCTACCGCAAAATTGGTTGGAAAATGTCCATAGCTAATGGAGTGTTATTTTGTAGTGCAAGTTTCCAGAATTACCATCATTATTATTTTTACTATTATTATTACTATTAAATATAATTTTCGAATAATTGATATGCATTCAATATTATAATTATGAGTCAATTTACAAAAATTACATTATTTGTAGTGAAAGAGGAGATATATATGTATTTTTAATCAAATTGTAATCACAGTTAATATATTGGGATTCACAACAGTCAAATTTAGACACCCATATAAATTAAGAACAGGAGATAATAAATATAATAAAAGAAGAATAAAAGATGCAAGAGGTAATAATGGAGATCGAGTCTATTACGAGTTTGCAAAGAAAAATACCCTACACAGAAAATTGTAAGTTATTACAAAAAAATCAAACTATAAGGTGATCACCGTATAACTGATTGCATAATATATGAACGGAACAAATGGAGAACATACATTAAGGTGATATTAAGGATGTACATACTGCGTATTCGTCTACTTAAGTTGCTTATTTATTTTTGATATTCCTTAAAAGTAATTACCGAATAAAAATTAATTTGAGAAAAAATCTAATGTCATACGAAGGGTGCAGTTCCAATTAAAACAGTGCTTAATGTGAAAAGTGCGAAATTTTCATTTTTACGTTGTTGTATTACACATTCAGGTTCAAATGTTGCACTTTTGCAATGGCAAAAACGTTACATATTTACGAAAATGTCATCGCATTTTTAAATCAATTTGTTGCACTATGGACACTTTGAGAGTAATCAGATCTCAAATTCAATGCACGAAAATCATTCTCAATTTTAACATTATGCCTTTTTATTTGATCCAACGCTGGAAGGAAAACTAGAACCTCATTTCCCAAAAATCTCATGATCGAGAGAAACAGAATCTATTTCGAAAAGTACGTATTACTACATAGTAATGACACTAAACATGTGGAATGCCTTTTTGCGCCTTTGCTCTTTAATTTGATCTATAAGAAGTTACCATTCACTCTCTTTACTTTTCTTTGGTTTCTTTGATTCCCTTTCTCTTTAATTTCGAAAATCCTCAATGTCCACAACTCCACTTTATTCTCTGCCTAATAGCTCCAACAAATTCCTCTAGAATCAAAAGAAATCTCCCTTCCCACTCTATCTATATATCCTCATTTGTATTCTGTCACAAACAAGAAGTATCTCCTTTCCCTCTCCCAATTCCATCATTCAGCGAGCTTTGGAGTAAGCTAAGAATCATCAGTTATATTTACATTTACATTCTTGATTGTGATGAATCAAATCACCCCAAATTGAATTGCCTACTCGATCATATCATATATCTACACTTCTTAATTATGACATCGTTTGGAGAGCACCATCACCAGAGTGATAATCCAACGCCCCAAAAGCTTGAAGAATTCCTCTCTCGCCTTGAAGAAGAACACGTCAAGATTGATGCTTTTAAACGTGAGCTTCCTCTATGCATGCAACTCCTCACCAATGGTATGCTAATTAATCTATAGAAGTACGTACTAATTAATAAACTTTGAGTATAGTCATGGGTGGAGCTGTGGTATCCTAAGCTAAGCCCCGGCCCATCCCAAATTAAGAAATGCTTAAAATATTTAGTGGAAAATAAAGTATGTGTTCAAAAAAAATCCGTTGTTAGTTTGGGCCCCTGATTACGTCACTGAGGAATTCGTGTGTTCAAACTGTTGTTAGTTTGAAACACTCCCCCAATATTTAAAAAACTGTTTTTAGGAGTAATTTGAAACACTTAGAAGTTTTCTGCATTTCCATTCAAACACTATTTGCTTTCTGTTCTATGTAGTAGTAGAAACAGCTTTAAAAAGAAGTACAAACACCTTTTAATATTCTCTAGATGACTCATTTAGTTTGTTTAAGTATGGTATATTCATTTATCATGTTTTCTTGGGAGTTGTGTCTAGCTAGCAGCCAGCTTGGTCAATTGCTTGGTGCTTTGGTATTTAGGCTCGTTCTTTTGCTTTACTTCGTTTCGGGTTTGTTACGTTGAAGACTTGGAAGCCGGATTTCTCATGTTGAAAAACAAAAATTGAATTCAACCAGGAAAATCATATCGTACGTTATGGATTTAATTACAATCGACTTTATTTGTGTTTTGTGCCCTGTTCCCTGGCCTCTTGCTATTTATGCATGCCTTTTTAGTTTTTTTGACCATGTAGTTTAATTTATATATAGGAGGAGATGCTATTTAGTTCTGATTCGTTTTAATTTGCTAATTATATTGGTAATGGGATTTTAAATATGAAGTATTAATAAAACGATCACTGAGAAAGATTCATGCATATATCTACCATTATTTACTATTGAGGATGTACTGTGTTACCGAAAATATGCTCCAAAATCATGCACATTTTAATATTCC